TGATCTTCCCTTTTAATGTTCTGATTAGTATGCCATGTTGATTACATTTAATAGAGTTAATGTTGTGTGTACCAATATCTCCATGATGTTCACACTTCTCTTGCTTGAAGTACAACAATGCAACTAATCTTGCAGAACATAAAGATGTCTCTGCTTAAAAATTCACACAGGCGATCTTCTACTTCTCAGCTAGGGAATAGTTCCTTCTTTTCCATAAATTTTTAATTTTAAATAATATAATTGGAATTATGTTCATGTTGTAGGTATAAATTTATGATCATTAGAGGCAGCTTCCCAGAGGGAGGATGATGGTGTCAAGAGAATGATTCATGTAAGACATTCATGTGTTTTTGTTGTATATATTACGATTCTAATGGATGATTCAGAAATTTAATGTAAGCTAACTTCCCTCCTTTTTCTTTTTGTTTTTGTTCCATGATTTGATTGGAATCGTGGATTTTCATCCAAGTTTTGAGTAATAAGATGAATAAGAGTAAAAGCTTCCGGCTGAATAAGAGTAAAAGCATGTTCTGTCATGCATATTTATGATGATGAAGAGTTTATTTTCATGCTGCAAAAGCATGTCCTGACTGACTAAAATGATAGGGGTACATGTTTCTTTAATACAGAATTTTAGTAACATATGATTTAATTTGCTACTTGATCTGTCATAGTCTCCAGTTCAAAGGTTTTTACAAATACAAGTAAAGAAAATATTGATGTGTGTGTGTGATTTTGAGTTGTTCACAACAAAGTTCTTTCATGGGTTAACACTCCCATTTCATTTCTCTTTGTTCCTATTTGTTTTCCATGAGCAATTTCCTCTAATGCTCTTATTAAAACATTTTGATTTTCAGGTTTCTTATGACACATTTCCTCCATCTGTTTTCTCCCTTTTGCAATTTGGGAAATCTGAAGCAAATTGAACTTTTGCAGATTTTGGAAGGATATTGATTTTTTTCCCTTTTGATGATAATTCTAGTTACAAATGTGATTGAAAGTTTAGCCGGAATGGATTCTCTGAAATAGGAAAGAGTATATAATCTTGTTTGTCTGTTGATATCAGAGTTGAGAAATAGATTTCCCTCTGCAATTGAAGATTTTTTATGGTTTCTTTGTTTGTTCAATTATTTGCAGGAAAAATTCCAAAAAATAATTCTAAAATTTTAAAATCTCAATCAGGAATAACTATAAAATAAGTTATTATTTTCTTTTCAAATGTTGTCAATTGTTATTAAAGTGTAACAAATAAGGCATTTTGAAATTCAAAGATTTTTTTTTTTTGGATTCTTTCTTATTTGTATGAGTTTTGTTAGTGCAATAATTCAATTTATCTTGTCAATTAGATTTTCTTTTTCCCCGTGTATGCATGAAAAAGTAGGGGTGCTGGTGACAAAATGCTTTGTAAAATTTTTGGCCCAAATTTTGAAAAATAAATATAGTGCCAAATAGTCCAAAATCATGAGTCGATTATCGCTTACAAGTGAATGAGCGTGTTGTGCGGTTATGATATAAATAGATTCACTCTGTTTCAAGGTTAGGGATGAAAATAGGTAAGGTGAGGCTTTAGTTAAATAAGCATGGTTTATAATACTGTCTCCGGTTGTTACTATAAAATCTTATTTGATTTTTATTTTGGTATTAAATATAAAAATCCAATTCACTGTTTTTAATATTTGTTCATTTTTTTAAAAGATAATCTTTGTAATGATGATAGTTCTACTCAATACATTTGATTAGCAAAGATATTTTAAGAAAGACAATATTTATTTATTACAAATAATTAATATGATTAGTTTTTTTAATCTACTCAAATTAGTCTATTAATTATTATATTAAAGACTAGAGGTTGTAAATATTCAACGCCTAAGCTTGCACAAAGATTTTTTTATTTTTTTTAAATCAAAAGGCTTGAAGTCTTTTTAAAGTCTAACTTAAAATGTAGGCTTTTAAATAAGTTTTAAAGTCTATACCTCCGTATTTAGATAAAATTCTTCAAACCGATTTAGAAACTTATGTTGAAAAGAAAAGAATGTATAGTAATAATGGTTATTCAAACAAGTGTAAATAATAAAAAAAACAATTATTTGTTGACTAAAGAGAAATAATCAATCAAGCGCAATAAGTAACATAAAACTGGATTTTACATCTTTTTCTCGCAAAAATTGTGGTAAATTCTTCTTATTGAGATTGTAATATTTTATTTAGGTATCATCAAAATAAACTTGTAACAATTGTTATACCTTAACAGACAATGCAAACAAGGGCAAAGGGAGTGAGATAATGTTGACATCTTTTAAGCGGTCGAAAAGAAGAAAAAATGTAGAGGTGAATGACTGATAAATGAAAGAATTGATCTTATGTATGAATATTGTGATATGAAAGTTAGGATCAAATCAAAGTTAGTAATAAAAATAATTTATAAAATTAATTTAGATTATATTAAGGTTAATACAATTTTTGATCCCTCCATTTTGTTCTCATTTTGGTTTTGGTCCCGTAAGTTCCTTTTCATTTAAAGTATTAGTATGTATAATCTAATAAAAATTGAAATATTTTGCCCATTGAAGAACCAAAACCTATAGTTTTAAACTTGAAAGATTAAAACCAAAATAAGAATAAATTTAAAGGATAACAATTATTATATTATATATGATAGCCCAAATTAAAAAAAAAAAACAGAAAGAAAATGGACCAGGTCTATAAGCCTATAAGCTAGGTTTTATGAGAATAAGCTTGGTTTGTTTACCTAAATAAGCTTAGAAATAAGCCAAAATTTAAGCCTAAGCTGAGTTTTAGTTTTAAGAAGGCTAACTGTGGTCCACTTCCACCCCTTATTCTAGGCAAACAAAACTTGTACATAATAACGGGAAAATTATTCATCATATCAAGAATCAATATATCAATATGCAATATTCATTTAAGCTAAAATAGATCCAACACCCCTAAATATTGTCAGATAAATAGTTAGATGAGTCCAGTATCTTAAAACATTTTGTGGTATGTTTAGCACATTAAAATATTTTTTAGGTGTATCCAGTACTTTAAAATATTTGATAATTCATCTAGCACTCTAGAATACTTTTTGAACCATACTCAACACCCTAAAATTGCTCATGAAATTATACTTGAAAAGTACAGTTACTTACGAAAAAAATTAATAATTTAAGAACAAAATTACTCCACAAAATAATTCAGAATCCTGGATGCACCTGAAAAAATAATTAAGATGCTAAATATATTGAACAAAATATTTTAGGTGCTAAACTCATCTTAATCCTTATAAAATTTGTAACAACACCTGTAATTCATACGGCCCAATTAGTAATTACTCCTTTTTCAAACTTCCAAAATGCCTGGAACTCACATTTTATTATTTTTGATTTTTTATTCTTTAAAATAAATTAATATTTAATTTTGACATAATTATATTTTTATCCATATCAAGAAGCTACCCAAGAGGTACTATATCCACACATCTCTTTTTAATCTCTAAAAGTGAATTTAAAAAAAAAACAAAAGGAAAATTCAAAATCTGGACACAATCTGTAAAATCAGAGCACGTACTTTTACGAATTTTGCCTCAAGAGTATCCCGTGTAATTAATTGAAAACTGTAAATAAAATTTAACTGAAGAAATTCAAAATCTGGCCACAAAATCTTGAAATTAAATTATTATGAAGTTAATATGAAAACAATAATGCTACAACTCAATAAAAGTAAAAACCAGGAAGAGCTAGTCGCACAAAATTTCCCAGATTTACCTGTTCTATCAACACTCATCACTATTCTATACACGCTCACTGTTATATCCACAGATAGCCGCACTATAGCTATTAGCAAAAATGTAGAGGACACAAAAAACACAACTAAACCCTTGTTCTCCAAAAACCTCTGATTCTCCCGGACCTTTTCAACCTCAGCTCTGCATTTTTAAGGAATAGAAGATGAATAATTTTCACTTATGATGATACAGAGTAACAGCATTAAGAGACAGAAGATCATGTAATCTTTATAATGTCTTGCGTGACAAGCATTAGTAATATCAAAATGCATCCAGTCCCCCGAAGAATATCCTCCTTTAGTAATGTTTTGCCCACAAGTGGCAGAACAAAATAAATTCAAGTAAATAAGAAGAGAGCAACTACAAGCAGAGTTCTAGGTTAACCTACAGTATCATGCCCTCATGACTTGCATGTTCAAAATTTCCAGAAGTAATTAACTGTTGTGATGTTTAATAAAAATATATCGAGAATTGTCTTTGAGCGTGAAAAGATTTTATGTACTGCTACTCATATATTTGCTATCAAGGTTCAAGTAAACATGACAAATATATGATTCTCTAATACATAAGAGCTGGACGATTTTTGCAAACAGTTATCCATTTTCAATTAAATTATATACCCAGAGAATTATATATCTATCATGTTTTAATCAACAAACTTAATTTCAGAGATGTAAGGAATTACGCCTAAGTTTGATCCACATCTGTAGAAAAGTGGAAAATTTCTAGTGAGCGAGGAACAGAGAGGGACGAGCATGGGATCACCGAAGTGCAGTGGCAGTTCTGGTGGGATCTTCAAATTGCAAAATTACGTAAACTAAGTAACACAGCTGGCTAGTATAATTATAATTTATAAGCACTGTCAAATTGGTTGTTGGGGCGAATATCCTTTAACCTAGCTATCACATTATTCAAACAGTTTTCATGGATCAACACATTCTATCACATCAACTGAAAAATAGTAGAACTGCATCCAATACTGGAAAGTTAAAATTACGTTACTCTTGGCAATGAAGTTTTCCAATTTTTTTTTGGGTAGAAAATAGAATTGGCAATAAAATAACTCCCGAATCAAAATCAGCAGCGAGCAGCAGCCCTGCCCTTAGAATTTGTTCATTCCTTTTTATTTTTTTTCCTCCAAAAATATTTCAACTCTTTTCATCTCAATATAAGGGATATATTATAAGATGGGGAGAGAGGAAAGAGTTGAAAGATCGAGTTAGGTAGATGAAGGAAATTAATCTATGTGCATATTTTGAGGGTACTACACCGCTACTTTGATGGTTATATTTGTATTGCATCCTTAAACTGAAGCGTTCCGAAAATGATAGCAAACTCTTACCTCAGAACTGCATTGTCCTTAGCAAGATGACCCAACTGCATAGAAAACTGGGACTTCCATCGTTGCAGATCCCTGGCTTCCTTGGTCTGCAAGAGCAACAAAACATTTCCAAAATGAATATAAATTTGAATAGTGATTTTCTAAATTATGTATAATGAAATCGTTATCTAGGGTGAGTTTAACATACGATAGCATCCTGTTGGTCAAGGAGACTTCTAATATCTTCTTTAATCTTCTGTAATATTTATGTTTTCCCCCATGTCTTTGCCGTACTCTTTGAAAATATTGGCATATCTAGAATTTAATTCCCCCAAATATCGCTCCAAAACAGACAAATTTAAATCTAGAGAACGGACTTTCTGCATCAGAATCTTGAGAACAGTATCCCCAGGCATCCTGCCAACTTGTTGGCGTATTTCTTCAGCTGGATCAGGCACATTACTATTTACAGCTTCATTGTTCACAGAAGAGATTTCTGTATCAGGTTCAGAATTCATCCCTCTGATCGTATTTCGTTGCACCTCTTCTCCCTCAGCAGGGTTTGGATGAAGTGATGCTGCTCTCTTTTCACCATTGCTCTCTGCAGGTGCAAATGGACTATCTGGCTTATATATTAAATCTTCCAGCATTCTCTCAACAGCATCCACACCATAAACTTCTATTACGCTCAGCGTGCAATAAAATTCTGATCCATAATGGCTTAGAAGATTTAACTTGAGATATCTCACCCATTTTGGCTCAGAAAGAACAAAAGTCTGAGTTTGCTTCACATTTGATGCAGTAAAATTCCCAAGTTTAATCCAAGCATCAGTTGGATAGACCAAACTGGCATGGAGATCAAACTCTTTTAAATTCGAAGAATGGTGCTCAAAATTGGCAATTTTAATTGTATCTACTAAGGTTTCTTCTGAAAGCTCTATAATGACAAATTTTTCTTCTGCAGAACATGGATTTCGAAGATATTTGTCTTTGTCCTTTCCTAAAATATTAGATGCTCCTTTGGATTCTTTGTTAGAAGCCAAAACTTTTGCCCCCTTAGATGCTGATGCGTAATTGTATTCTGTACCATCAGGCTCAACTCTATGTATTACACTCCCCGCTGGACCTGTACCAGATGCGGTTTTAGAACTAAATGCCTTGCTTTTAAATTCATCGAGACCAAGAGGCACAGCCTGAGAAAGTTGATCAGCTTTTGACAAATTATTTTCTTGTTTTTCAGAGATATCAACTCCAAGGTGCTCTCTGGCAGGAGATGCAAACTTTTCTTTCTCATCAGGCGAAGCATATTTTTTGCTTTCATCAGCAGGGAGTGAATCATTACTAAGGGCATCATTCTTAGTGCCACCCAAGCAGATAGCGTCAAAAGGATGGTAAGCATTTGTCTCTTTAATCAAATATTCAATTATAGACCTGGACTTTTCACCATTTTTGTGGTTTTCTTCGCTACAATTTGATTCCCCAGCAGGAAGCTCTTCAGGTCCATCTACATCCAAAGATTATGAGTTGACAGGTAAGAATAAATTCAGCCATGGAGCAGGAAAATTCTCCCATACAAGTTTTCATTACAAAAGCAAGTTTTCCTCCAGTCCAATTCCAAGGAAATAACTGTAGCCATAAGGGTGAAAATGTGCCCTAGAGATACCATACCAACATAATTGCCAAAAAATACTGGATTTTTTGGTACAACATATAACATGCATGCAAACAATAAGACGCAAGCTACAGGGTCATAAGGTTTGTGTTTTATCATGGAAATATTATAATTTGGTCCGATAAGTGATGAGTAAGCTGAAATTGCTTAAAATAGATGCATCCTTCAGGGGTACTTAGAAATTCCACTGTTTGGGTTTAGTGGTCAAGTACGTAGTCATTTAGTTATGTGATTTAGTCTCGTGGGCTTTTGCTTAAGTTCTTTCTATTATTTCACAGTTATTCAACTGGCAGTACTTGGTTTTAAAAAAACAAAAAAAATTGGAGTACAAGTTTGGTCTACTTGATCCCAAAGTTCTATTTACCAGTCCTCATTAACTGATGAATCTGGCTATCAAAGATAACTAACAGAGTTATTTTCAGAGAAGTAGCCTACTAAAATACATCATGCATCTCTTAGGTATTTTGCAAAAGGACCCTTGTTTGAAGGCTAAGTTACTCTTCATTTTCTTATCAACATTGATATCTTACCCACTCGCTTCCTAACCTGCCAAGCACTATTATTCTTGAAATCATTAAGAACTCATCGAAACAAAGACCAAGCACTGTCTTGCTTCAATTTGTCCTAGACCACCTAACCCCAGATCAATGAACTCAATAGTATTGTTTACAGACCAAAAACAGAACTCTGACTAAATAGTATGAGGTGACCCATGAGGGTCCCAAATCATAATAATATAACACAGCATTGAAGATAACTGCCAGAGTGCCAGATGCCAGTAAAGAATTTTCTAAGTCAAACAATCCTCCAGCTATCAAATGACAATCATTTCTACCACCAGAATCTACCACAACACCTGAAGGACATTCTACAACAACTTAGAATCCTGTACGGCCGTCAAATTTGAGCATGAAGTTGAATACAAGAACTCATTAGGTACACAAATCAAGATAGAATTACCGGGAAACACATATAGCAGCGAATATCTATATGCTATGACATTAAATAAACGCCTCCAAGATATAAAATCTCCAGGGTGCACGTCAAAAATAAAGAAAAGGGTGGAATATTTTTGATATTACTAAGTCCTCATTGACGAGATCTGGTTTAAAGTTTAACAGCATCACGTATTCTACAGTCTACAGGATATGTTGTCTCTCATGATCACATTAGGCAACAAGCTAAGATAAGCTAGAACATTATGCAATGCTCCGTCATGTATGTTCCAACGTTAACACCTATTCATTGGAAAAATTTAGTCGGAAATTCTTACTACTGATCCTTGTGCAATTTCTCATATCATCATTACACGAAACACAGGAGTAGGTGACATTTAGATTAATATAAATCACTGACACAATTAACAATACAACAAGACAATCGGCAGTCTGGTGTAGTGGCACGTTAGTTGCCTTGGGTGCAACAGGTCGCGGCTTCGATCCGCTCCGCAAGCATTAGCTTGCTAATTCAAATTAAAAAAAAAAAAAAAAAAGCAAAAGAAAAAGTCGACCATACCTCTGAAACCATGACCACGGCTGATCCATAAGCTGAAGAGGAATACTAGCCCCCATAAAATAAAAACCAAGGACAGCGACACATTATACAAATGGCTTCTTCCGCCAGCAGCCTTCTCTAAAGCTCTTCTCTGCAGAAAAGCTTTACGTGATCTCTGCATTGTACATCAATCTAATCCATTGCCAACTTTCAAGCAAGCAATTTCAAGAGAAATTCCCTGCAATCGACCACGGAATTTCTCTAATTCAGTGATCTCAAAGAAATAAAAAGGGCACATTTAACTTCTCAATTGAGTAAAGTGATGCTGATAAAATAAGACTCGCGTAACTCAAAATGTTATCACGACAGTGCCAGGCTGTGTGTGTATATTTTTTAGCTTAAAAAACCTCAAAAGCTAATGCCGTGAAATACAGATGTTCCACCTATGAAAGAAACAAATATTGATTGTAAGCAAAGCTCCAATGCACAACCACTATTCAATTCGAGGAAATGTATTTTCAATCACAATTCCATCTTAGTAGTGAAGTTAAAGATTTATTCAAACTAAATCATGCACTGTGTCACCAAACACGATGGTGAAAAGACCATACCAACTAGATTAAAGAAGAGGACACAACACATCCGGTAATTCTCCTCACCTAGAATAAGAACCAACAAAGAAAAACGACCATTCTTCAAATCAGAGCAACAACAAATCAGTATAAAATACAATAAATCTCCCCCCTTCTTCCACCCCAACGGTCATCGAATCAAGATACAATTCAAAACGTAAAAGATCGCATCTAGGATCTGAGAAGAGACAGCACACAGAGAGAGAATTAATAAAAAACGGAGGAAGCATAAAAATTCAAATAACCCAGGAAAAAAAATCGAAAGCCCGCAAAAAGTCAAATCAAATTAGAGAAAAGGAATAATGACCTGGGCATCTGAAATCAGGGAATTTGGCTCCTCGGGAGAAGGAGACAGGGCAAGGGAGTTGACGATCTCAATGGTGGAATCTTCGAGATGAGTGAAAGAAGCGAAAGAAAGAAGCGACAATTACAAAGCGCGTCGAAACGGCGTAGTTTAAGGAGACGGTCCGCGTAACGAACCTTTCACAGACTCCGCGCTTCTGCTTGTCGCTTTCTTTCGTAACGGCCAGTCCTTCTTTGTCACTTAACGCTTCCCTGATTTGCTAAATGATCTTTTGGCCAAAAAAAAAAAAAAGATCTTTATTTTGAATTTTATCTTCTCACTCCTAAACATCCCTTTTTTAAATTAATTTAATTATTACTTTAACACTCAATCTCTCTTTGAAATCTATCACATATGCACAATTTTTTTGTAGTTATTTATTAGACTACGTTTCATCATCTAAATTTAGAGTTTTCAAGTTTTAAAGGTATATTTTTAATTTTTTAATCATAATATCATTAATACTATTCATAAATTTAAATGATGACTTTGCTTTTGAAATAGTGAAAAAACATGTTATAAATTTTAATTTTTTAATGTAATATTTTATATTTTAAAATTTAAGCATTTAAAAATAAGAAAATGACAGAAAAATGATCCTTGAATTTGAGAATTCTCAAATGGTCATTGAAATAAAAAAAAAAAAAATCTAGTTTAGGCATAATTAACCAAATGGGATTTTTCGAATTTGTTTGTTGAAATGATTATATTGCCTTGATTTTATTTTATTTTTAAAAAATCAAAGACCATCACTGATCAGTTGGTCGTCTGAATTCCAGTGCTAACAGTGGTCATTGAGTTTAGGTGGATTGCTAGTCATTAGAGCTGCACCTGCTGGCCTGCAACTATTTTTTGGAGAATTTTTCAAATTTGGTAATATGATTAATAAGTTTTTTAAAGTTATTAATATGTTTGGTCTTGCAATGAACAACAATTTTTCTAAGAAATTCAAAATGTGACATTTTTAACATTTTAATAACACAGTTAACAAGTCATGTAACGATATTAACAATTCTCATAACGATATTAACAAAATTTTCCTATGAAAGTTGATGTTTTGTAATATCAACTTCCTATGAAGGTTGTACAACAAAATTTTTTCATTTATTAAGCAATCATTATGGTTATGAAAAGTTGTTAATATTATTACATGACTTGTTATAAGAATTGTTAATGAGATTATGAGAGTTGTTAATATCATTATATAACTTATTAATTACATTACTAAAGTTGTAAAAATACCACTTTTTCAATTTTTTAGAAAGCCTATTGTTAAAGGTAGTACTAAATTTGTTAACCGCATTACAGGACTTAAAAATTCCCTATTTGTGATACAATGACTAATCTTTCAAAGTGTAAAAAACTCTTCGATCACATGGTCAATGTTATTATGGGAGTTATTAATATCTTTACATGACTTGTTAATCGGGATACTGTAATTATAAAAATGTCACCTTTTGAATTTTTTGAAAAACCTGTTGTTAACTGTCATAACAAATTTGTTGATAGTATTAAAGAACTTGTCAATCACGTTATTGGATTTGAAAAAAGCTCCCAAAAAATAGTTGTTGGCTACCAAAGCTCTAGTAACTGACCGACCAGTAAGGGAGTTTGATGATTTTTTTTTTAAATTAAAAGGCAATATGGTTATCTCAATAAATTTCAAAATCTTAATTTAATCAGCTATACCAAAACTGAAATTTTACTTATTTTAGTGATTAGTTTAGAATTTTCCACTTCAAGAATCATTTTTATGTCATCTTCCCTTGAAAAAATAGGTATATGATAAATTATTAAAATATTTGAAATTTAAGCATTTATAAAAATAATTAATAAAAGAATTATTATTTAAAGTATATTCTTTTAGCATCTAATAACGTAGTCATTTTTTAAAGTATTAAAAATATATTTTTTAAACTTAAAAATTAATCCTGAAGTCCTTATACTTTTTATTAATTTTGAATTAGGTCCTTATAGATTAGTTTCTTTGAATTGGACCCTCACACTAAAATTTGTTAAACCTGTTGGTCCCTGAATCCTTAACACCGTTAATATTAACTGAATTGGCTGAATATATTTATCCACATAACCTGTGACTTGTTTCCCTCCTTGTGCATAAAAAAAAAAAATCATGAATGCCCAAGATAAGGTCCATATCTTCGCTGCCACTCTTTACTGTAACATCGCCGCCGAGATCATGAATGCCAGACAAGCATCCCTCCTCATGTTCAGATCCTAGGATGAAATCTGGAGAATCAGGCTAACCATACACCAAGCCATATAGCAAAATCATGAGCAAGAGTGAACTGACATTTCTTATTGCGTACAGTACTCCCTTAAACCTACTAAATCCGTCTTCTTTAGCTTCATGATAGCAAAGGGGAAGGCCATAATTTCTTTTGTGCTTTAATTTTTGTATTGAGCCCAAGATGTTTTTTCCCCCTTTTTTGTAAATTTTACACCTTCCTATTACTCAGACCTCAGGTACTCATGTTTGTCCTCTTTTGTCCTATTCATCAAAACCACCATTGAAAATATCAACCAATACAACCATTGTTCAGAAATCATGACCCTTACATATTTAAAGCGAAAATTATTCAAGAGTTGCATATATCTATTCTTCTTTTCGAGCCCAAGACCCATCAAAACCCAAACTCACAGCTTTTATGTTGGTAGATCCAGGGCGTGTTGATTGTATGGTCTTGATGGAGGAAGGGAGGTACTAGGGTAGATCTAGAAGTAAGCGGCGGACGAGGGTTCTATCTTTCTCTTTTGTATTTTAATTGCTTTGACACTGTTAATTTCCCGGGTTTCATCCTAGAAGACGAATCCAAGGGATGCTTGTTCCTGGGAATGATGTTCTGGATGTCGGCGGTGAGGTTATAGCAAAGCGGCGGGCATTTTTTAATTTTTTGTACCAGTCAATATCTTGGACGTTTGTAGATATTTTTTTATTCAGCAGGGGAATGGTGACAGCTCATATTTTTTTAATTCAAATGGCAGCACAGTCAGCAGCCAACTCATTCACATTTCAGCCACTTCACCTAACATTAACGGTGTTAAATGCTGAAGGACCAACATACTTAACGGACCTAAGTGCGAGGACCCAATTCAAACAAATCAATCTATGGGGACCTAATTCAAAATTGATGTAAAGTATAAGGACTTGGGGTTTAGTTTTCCCTTTTTTTTTTAAATTAAAAGGCAATATGGTTATCTCAATAAATTTCAAAATCTTAATTTAATCAGCTATACCAAAACTGAAATTTTACTTATTTTAGTGATTAGTTTAGAATTTTCCACTTCAAGAATCATTTTTATGTCATCTTCCCTTGAAAAAATAGGTATATGATAAATTATTAAAATATTTGAAATTTAAGCATTTATAAAAATAATTAATAAAAGAATTATTATTTAAAGTATATTCTTTTAGCATCTAATAACGTAGTCATTTTTTAAAGTATTAAAAATATATTTTTTAAACTTAAAAATTAAATTTAAATTTGATATAAATTTAGAAAACCAAACAAGTTTTTCAATAAAAATAATAATAATTATTTTTAGTGCATGATCAATCATCATTAAATAAATAATACTTCTTTACCTTCATATGATATCTGTCCATTTCATTTTTTGGCTATAAAAATATATTGTTTTTTTCTGCCAACTGTAAATATGTACATTTGTACACTTATATATAATACATAAGATAATTTATAAAAAGCTACCACTCCTAATCATAAATAGTATACATATATTTGTAAAATGATCATAAGTAATATTATATTAGGTAAATAAATAACTACGCATCATCGTCACTTTTTTTCGTGCGTAATTTTGTATGATATTTTCGTGTACCAGAAGCAACTGACCCATCATCATATGACATTTTTAAATGTAAAGGAATAAGCAATAAATTTATTCCCATCTTGCTGCCCCACCAACATTATTTGAAAATGCTATCATAATAATTAAAGACCCAAGCCGGCAAAAAATAATTAAAGACCCAAAATGATGACCATCACGATGACGATGATGATCATCATAATAATAATAAATTTGTTAGTTAATTTTACCTGATTTTTAACCAGATTTCGATAATCTTTTACATTTCTCGTGCTCATAACCTTTTAATTAAAGGTGAAGTGGACGCTTGATGTAAATTGTCATGAAATACAAATAATTTTTTTAAAAATAAATTAATAATATCAAATTAATTATTCTTAAGATAAAAATAAAAAATATTATTCTCATATATTATATTTATATATAAGGACAAAATTTAGGTCAAATTCCTCATATATATATCATATCAAGTTCTTTAATTATACATAGACACTTGCCTTTCTCAGTTTCACATGGATTTATAATTAAATGTTATTTAATGTCAGTATTTTAAAAATAAGACACACAATTATATATAATTAAAGAACTTGACATAATAGATATAACGAATTTAATGTAAGTATTTTTGTATATACATCGTCTCTAAATTTGTTTATTTTAATTTTATTTAGATTTATGTGATAAAGATTTAGCTGAAAAAAATATTCTTGTGGCAGACCATTTGAAATTAATTCAGGTATATATTAAGTGAGGGTCATATCATCATCAGCCATTAAACATCTTTTCTCTTGAAAACCAAAAAAATATGAGTATGAAGACCAATATCTATAATTGAGAAGCTATAAAGACTCAGTAAAA